AAGGTCATTTAATACGGATGTGCCAGACTAAATTTTTAGATGCATGGACTGAATATTCAGACGCAAGGAAAATTTCCTAGACACTTCATCAAACGAAGATTCTTAAACGCAGTAATTTCTTACTGCACTCTGAGGGATATCCAGGCGCAGTGGTTTACTGCGATTGTTTTCCTTTGTGTTTCAAACTAAACTGGATGGTGAATATATTAATATCCTAGTGTATCAAATGTGATCTACTCCTATAGTATATAGAAAATGCTTCATTGAAGTAGATGAGTTGATACCTGTTTTACCTGTACTAGTTATTTGTCTTCCTTGCCTTTTGTTCTTTGTTCTTTCGTGGATTGTATTCTACCCCTGCAATGTTAATTACTCAACCCAAGGGGTCAAGCTCTGATACAAATTGAAGTTAGCGGAAAAACACATAGAAGGGGGGGTTGAATATGTGTAAGTGTGAACAAAGGAATTTTCAAAACGTTTTCGTAAGGAACTCTTGTTCGTCTGATAAAATATGATTTTAAACATTTGAAGACTGTGCAAGATTGGCTTAGCAAGAGGTTTTGTGTCTAAAAGTTTATAGTATGCTCAAAGAAAATGTTTCTTAATATAATAAATTAAGTGCATGTATTTTCCATCTAAAATCAGTTGCTTTGAGAAATAAGCAACAGACAAACTTTCAGCATAATATATTAGCTAAATAAAGTTTGCGTCTGCGTCTGATAAATAGATGAGAAGTGCAAAGTATTTTATACTGGTTCACTCAGATTGAGCTACGTCTACTCTCCTTCAATTGAAGGGTTCCACTAGATATTCAATGAAGTACAAGTATTATTTGTTCAATCTCTTCAGGCTCGCAGTGAGTATTCTCAACCACTCCTGGTCCCGAGTGTTATCAACCACTCCTGGTTCGTCATCTTCACTCGTCGACGCTAGTATTCTTAAACCACTTCTAGTTCCCCGAGTATTATCAACCACTCCTGGTTTGTCAACTTCACTCGTCGACGCTAGTATTCTTAAACCATTTCTGGTTCCCTGAGTATTATCAACCACTCCTGGTTTGTCAACTTTACTCGTCGACGCTAGTATTCTTTATTCAGCCACTTCTAGCTCTCAATGAGTATTATCGACCAGCTCATGGCCCGCTAACTTCACTTGCCAGCGCTAGTATTCTTTATTCAACCACTTCTGGCTCGTAGTGAGTATTTTTTGAAAAGAGTATCCAGGTTTTGAAAGTATTTTTTCCCTAGCCTATTAAGGCTTTACAAATGCATGATAGATGATTTTGGTTTGAGTGTTTTGTTTACTCTCATAGAGAGGACACATATGTTTGTACACTCACTAAGGTATGCAACCTTAGTTTTACAAGGTTTGAGTGTATGGTTTACTCTCACAGAGAGGATACAAAGATGACTACACTCACTAATGTTCATGTTCCTAAGTTACACTTAAAACTCCTTAGTCTACAGAGATAAATATACTATGGTACATTTGACTATATATGTTCTTTCTCTGGTTTCATTGCTTCGTGGGCTTGATATCACTCTTCGCTCATATTCGCCAAAAGCCAACCTTTCAAGTTTTGAAGTCGTGATATATATAGTCTTGTAAAAATTTGTCCGTTGCAAGTGTCCGTTGAAGCGAATGTAGTCGTTCATGACTATTTTGATCTTTCATTTAATGCACAAGATCTTTGCATTAAATGTTGCTTCTTGTTTATAGACATTGCGTGAAGTCTTCTTTGTTTGTTAGCTGTTGTGTCTGACTTTAGTTGAGACCTAAGAACTTTTAATTTTGTCCTTTTCCGGTCATCGTAGCTGTAGAGCGTTGTCCTTATTTGAAAAAGTAATGTACTTTTTCTAACACATGCATGCTTTAACTTTTGGTGTGCTTTTCTTCTTTTTCTTCTCTTCCTTTAATCACACGATTATGATGAGAGCTTTTATATGATCGTAGACGATGCCTAATTTGTCCTTTGAGACTTGATTCTTCAAATCCTTGTATGGCAGTCTTCGTCTGCGTCTGATAGTCCATGTGCATCTCACATCTTTATCTTCGTCTGAGCATTTGTCATTAATGCTTTGACTCTCTTTGGTCTGGTCAACATTGTAGATGGACAGACTTTGTTTCCTTCTAGAATACTTTTCAGTCTATGCTGTCCTTCATTTGATATGTTGTTGACTTTCTTCTAATTTTTGACCAGCCTTCCTCTGAGTCTTTATATTGCGCTCTGGGATGTCCTTGACACACCTTCATCTGATTTCTTATATTGCACTCTAGGTTGTCCTTGACACACCTTAGTTTGATATTTGATTCATTATCGTCTGGCGCATATGTCGTTTTGCATCTATCATATGGCTTTGCTTCGTTTGATCCTTGAAGCTTTTGTCTTGTTCTTGATTTTGTCTTTTTCGATATTCGTTTTGGCCTTTCATTTGATACTTCAACACTTCGACCGGTAGTATGTTTCGTCTTGTATTTGCTGTCTTTTCGTCTGGCCCGAAGCTTTTCTTCCTTTCTCTTGGCACATGCACATTCTCTATTCTTCAACTTGTCTGTACTTATGTTTTTCTGAAACACTCACACACTTGTTGAGGATTCGATAAAAAAATTTTTTAGGAAGTGAATTGGATTAAGATTTTAAAGGACTTTTTTAATTGAAAAATGTCTTGTAAATTTTAAAAGACTTTCCAATATTTTCATGACTTATAAGACTTTGTAGGATTCTGCAAGATTTTAAATCAGAATTTTAACGAATTCTTTATGACTTTTAAATTAGGATTTTAATGGATTATGTGGACTTTGTAAACTTTGAAGAATTTCGTGAATTTTTCACTTACGATAAAAGTTCAAGATTTTTTTTCATACATTCAAATTTAAAAATAATTAAAGACAAATTTTTAAAATTTTTAATTGCTTTCAATCGTGAAGAAATATTTCTAGTATTAAATTCTAAGATACCACAATGTCTTATGTTAATTTCCTTTTAAAAATATAAAAAATCCTAATTTCACAATATAAAAATTTAAAAAAAATAAAATTCATAGGTAAAAAAAAGAAATAAAATAATTGTTGAGTCATAAAAGGAGGAAGGATAATAGTAACAAACTCAAGGGAGGAAGAGAGATCATTGTTTTTGTACTGAGAGGGTTCTCCCCCCAACTAAGATCCATTCTCATCTCAATCTACTCACAGAAACCCTAACTCAAATTCATCTTATATATATATTGTTCTAATAAATTTAAATTGATAACAAGGTCTTGAAGATCTATAGTTGATTGTAGAGATCATGATATTAATTTCAGCTTTCAGCTTTCTCTTTTCTTGACGCGTGTTATAAAAAAAATTACTACTTAAAAGTTGAAATTTCAAACATTTTCTTTGTTATATATATGAGGAACAAACTCAACTAAATAGAGTAAAATAATAGCAAGTCAATTAAAGAGAACGGAGAGAATAATATAGCAAGTCAATGACACTGTCATTTACATACTGGAGTTTCACCAAATAGGAGAATGTAATGAGAATAGTAATACAATACTATATATGAGCAGTAATGTAGTATTATTAGTAAAGAAAAAAATGGAGAAGACAAGAGCATAGAAAAAAAAGAGAGATTAAAAACTCACTTAGAAATTCTTGAAGCACTTGAAAAATCATTTCAAACAATCCTCCAAAATCTGATGAATTTGGATGAGATTATTTTATGAATGTGGTATTTATAGATACTACTAAAAAGTCCTTCAAAATCTATCTAATACAACAATCCTTTAAAATCCTTATATTTTTGAATACCAATGAATTATTTTTAAGTTGTAAAAAGTATCAAATGAATACTAATGAATTTTAATGGACTCTTTAAAAAATCTTGAAAATCCAGATTAAATACCATTGAATTAGTTTTAAGTGACACAAAATCCTGATTAACTACCAACGAACTTTTTTATTTAAAAAAAATCTTTTAAAATCCTATAAAATTCTAAACCAATACATCCCTTTAAAGACTTATTTAAAAAAAATTTAAAATAATTTACTGACCTACTTAGTAATTTAACCTAATACGTATTAAGATCAAAATTGTAATAAAAGTTTTAATATTCTCTATTACAATTAAAAACTTCAATTAACATGAATTATCTTAGATGTTAAAACGTTAATTAATTTGAAATAAATGGTGCATTTTTTTTTAGATTTGAGAGATATATTTTATGTGATATTAAAATTATTTTATGTTACCAAAAAAAGTTAAAAATATTTTATAAATTAAAAAATTATTCTTAAATTTTTAAAATTTTAATTTTACTCATTAAAAAGTTTTAAATCTTAAATTTAATATTTATTTATACCCAATAAAATTTAAAATTTATTAAATGATATTAAATGAATTAAGTAAGTATTAGTTCTCATGTAAATATATACCAGCCTTCACATATATGCATAGATACACAATAAATGAATTTTCATGTTTTTAAACTTCTAATAGACAAAAACATAAAAGAGAAAATCTTCAAATTTAAAATTTTACAACTACGAATCCATAATACAAAATATTTTTACATCATTAATGAATTACAAATCATCAATATAACTTTTTATTTATGAATTTGTAAAAGTCAACAAGCTCATCATGTATGATAATTTATGATTATCAATGTATAATTTTTTCATTTAAAGTTTTTGAAAAATAATTTTTCCCAATTAAATAAAAATACCATATTATCATTAATTTAGTCATAAAATCTATTTTGAGATAACATGAGCAAACAACCTAATACTTGTATCATCAATTTCTGTAATATTTAAATAATATTTGACTAAAAAAATAAATATGCACTTACTGATTTGTATTTATTTAGTAATTTAAGATTTTGTTTAGAAGAAAAACATTATCATGAATCCTTATCATAACTTATGTCTTAAACAGGTAAGCTAAGACTCTAGTAATAACTAGAGAGAGAGAGAGAGAGAGAGTGGATGGGGACACTGATTGATGATTTTCTGTACTTTCTCATTGGCCCAACTTAGCACCACATTCAAGATAAATATTGCCTCTCTCTCTCTCTCCTCATTCATTAGATCTTCCTTTCTTTCACTGCTTTCAAAAGCAAATCTGAAGATGCACTTGCACACCCCTTTATTTATCTCTATCTGCACAACCCTCTCTATCTTTCACTGGATCTCTCTCTCTCTGCTGCTTCTACACAACACCATTCACACCCTTTTCTCGAACTGTGTGCAAGCAAAAACGGTTCCCCCACTCACCTCGTTGCTTCTCCCACAAGATCTTATCCCACCCCAGCTTGGTTCCTAAGCTGAAAAAAAAAACACTAACACACACACACACAAACCCAAAAGAGAAAAACAGAATTTTTCTTCCCTTGGATAAAAAGCGACCAGTCTTTTCATCAATGATTCCCCAGACTCAACTTTAAAACTTTACCCTTTTCTTTTAATCTTTTTACCGTGACATATTGTTATATAATTGTTTGTGTGCAACCATGGATTCCCATACCCATCATCATCACCAGGGTCACCAACAGAACCAATCCTCTTCTTCTGGGTTGCTTCGTTTTCGCTCTGCACCCAGTTCGCTGCTTTCGAATCTCACACCCTCTTTTTACGGTGGTGGTTCTAGCAGCTTGGAAGGAAACAACAGCAGCAACAACAACGACAAGGATTTGAGTTCGATGAATTCGCATAAAGGGTATGGTGTGGGGTTGCCACCTCACTATCCGAGGCATGGTTCTTCTGCTGGTGCTGCTACTTCGAGTTCTGCTATGGAGGGGTCTTATAATGGGTTAATGGGGATGGATCATGAAGTGCCACACAAGGGCTTTGGATCAACTCTTCTAAGGCAGAGTAGCTCACCTGCTGGCATTTTCTCCAATAACAACATTTCCTTTCAAAATGGTATTCATTTTTTGTTTTTTTTGATGATGTTTAGATTAAGTTTGTTCAGTGTTTTTAGTGTCATTATAATTAGAGGTTTGCTTTTTATTTAGTGAAATTCTAGTTAGAAAATGATATTAAAAGTATTTGAGTTAGCTGGATATAAGCTTCATCCTTTCTTTTTAAGTTATGATAACTTTCCATAATTAGGATACGAAAAAAGTTGTAATTTTTACTCACTATTGCGGTTCCATACCGTTATGGGAGGGTCCGCAACCACCACAAGTGATGCAGGCCGCAATTTGAAACCCTGAAATATGAGAATTTTGATGCATTTCACTGTCATATGAATTGTTGCAACTGTTCTTTAATTAGAATTATAGTCTTATCACATTTCATTAGTAATAAGATATTGTATATTTTAAGATTAAACTTTTGTGATTTTAATTTTGGTCGTAGTTCAAAAAGTTAATAATGGAGACAAAAGTGTGTATATAAATCCATATCCATGGTCATGTTCGAATCGTCGAATGATGGAAGACTTTGATTGTGTTCCGGCAATTTTTTCTTATTTTTCTGTGTTGGCTATCGTTTTTGAATTTTTAATGTTTGTGACACGGTTTATAGTTGTGAATAGAGCGGAGAATTTTTAATCTGATTTTAGTGAGTGTTAGCTATTGTCTGTGTTAGCAATCGGAATTTACAGGCCCAGAAATACCTAGTGTTTGTGAATAAAAAATAGTGATTTTGTTGAGACATTTATATGATTCTATTTTTGTTTGGCCACTCTTTTGGAAATTTTAATGTTGATATTCTTGTTTCTGGAAGTGGAATCTATTTCTAATTATGTATATAACACAGTTTATAATCTGAATATATGCAATATTTAAGTGGAAAATGAAATTATTATTAGTTACTGGCTATGCTGAACTGAGTTACAATTGCAACTTTCAAGGGTAGATATTGCGGTCAATTAAATAGAAAGTAGTGATTCTGGGAGGGAGATGCTATTCCTTGTATTCAAACTCTTCCCAAAGTGAAAGTTACCTATGCTTGGAAAGTTGGCATTTATTGTATTCAGCTCAGGTCTTATGTGCTTTAACTTTGTCACTTGGTGTAATTAGAAGCACAAGATTGGAAATTTAAGCTTATGTTTTATGCTTACAGTTCTAGTAATTTCAATTTGAGGGCCTAGATCATATATTGTTATGGAAGAACATGATATATTATCTGACCCTGCATCTTATTTTGTGAAGACAATTTTCCTTTAGAGGGGTACAATATTATTAAGATGAATTTATTCATTCTGATTAGTTAGTTACTCAGAAGTTATGAATTTGTGTAAATGGCAGGGTTTGCCACCATGAAAGGTGTTGGTAACTATGGTGGGGTGAATGGCAGTAATGGTGAACTTAGTCCATGCATTAACAGATTGAAGAATCAGATTAGCTTTTCACCAAGAAATGCCACTTCCCTTGGAATTTTGTCACAGATCTCAGAAATAGAGAGTGAAGACATTGATGCAACAAGCCCTGATGATGATAGGAGGCATGGAGGTAGTGATACTCAACATTATGGCCCTGGATTCCCCTATGGTTCTTGGAATGGCACTCCACAACTCTCAGAAAATCCCAGTGGCTTGAAAAGAGGGAGAAGTGGCAATGAAAAGTTATTTTCTGATGTTCAGGTATATATAGGATGCTTAGTTCTTCACTTTTCTTATTTTTCTTTTCCACTTTCATTTCAATTTCTTAACACAAATAAATTGTACTCAGAATGGAGAGCTAGGAAACCAAGTTAGTATGTTATCACATCACTTGAGTTTGCCAAAAACTTCAGCAGAGATGATTACTATGGAGAAGTTGCTTCAGTTCCCTAATTCTGTTCCATGTAAAATCAGAGCAAAGAGAGGTTGTTCTACTCATCCACGAAGTATTGCTGAAAGGGTAGGATCATTTTTTCTATATAATTTGATTTAATTAGAATGCACCAACAGTTGGAAGGTGTTTTGTCATGTTTTCCAATCATGAATTGCCTCATAAGACTATTGACTTTTATAAAAATTATTTTAAAACATATATATAAGATAATTTTTAATTGATTGACAGTGAGTTACAATATATCAGACTTTAACTCATTTGTTTTTGATTGATGGAATGTAGCAATTATGAATCACTTACCATGCCAAAACAATAATGAAGTTATTATCTAGAGTATGTTGAATTAATGAAGTAATTTGTAAAAGATGATTCTGAGATGTGATGTCCTTTTTCAGATGAGAAGAACATAGATCAGTGAAAGAATGAGAAAATTACAAGAGCTTGTCCCAAACATGGACAAGGTAAGACAGTTGCATGTTTGATTAAAAGTTTGGTTGAATACAAGTTAGAAACGTATTTGAGAATTTCTCTATTAAAAATAAAAAATATTCTTAAAAGTGCTTTTAAGGCTGTATCTAAACAAATTCTAAGTGGAAGATGTAAATTATATGTTACATACGCTGTAGTTGTGATTGGAAAAAGTTAACACTTTTGATGGTCTTGGCAGCAAACCAACACAGCAGACATGTTGGACTTGGCTGTTGAATACATTAAAGATCTTCAGAAACAATTCAAGGTACACAGGAAAAGAGAGAATAAATTACAGATCATGTAATTATTATTGAATATCATTGAATAAATCTTTACCTTTTGGTCTCATTTTTTTATTCTCATGCAGAATCTAAGTGAAAAACGGGCAAACTGCACGTGTATAGGTGTGCAAAAGGAAGATACAAATCAAATTTCTTGACCACCTTTCTTTGCGAGCAATACATAAAGTATGCAAAGATGGCTTGGAACGGGTGCTTTTAACTTAGTGCTGAGCAACAAGTAGAAGGAAAGATGCTAATATAGGAAGCTATTGCCAGAAATAGGAGGTTGAGAAATAGAGTAGAATTAAGATGAAACATGTCTTTTTTGATCCATAGAAATAGGAGAGAAAGAAGAGAGAGTTCTCTTTACTTATTTGGATGAGTGGTAAAGAAAGTGGAAAAAATAAGTAGATTATGTAAACAAACTTTTTTATAATAATAATAATAATAATAAATTTAAATATTTTACTACAATATTTTTCACAATAAAAAATCATATCTAACTAATTTTTTATAAAATAAAATATTATTCGACATTAAAACTCATTAAAATAAAAAATTCTCCATTTTTATGATTGCAAAAAGCTTTTATTTATGCTCGCGATATTATGAGTTTATGATTATCATTAATCTGAATTTTTGCATACCATAAGAATCAAACATGAGATTCTCTTTCTCTGTATAAATACATCAATATAAAATAAGTGACACTAAGTACTAACATTTAGCTCTTCACCGTCACCACAATAACTGGGTTCCTAAGCTAGATTTCAGAGTCAATAAATCAAGTAGTAAACTGGTAATGGGTAATGATTTTTGAACACCCAAAAGAACAAAATATTTAATTGACACTCCAAACTTGTGTTTTTGTCTCTTTTCTTGCCACACATATATCAGTCATTCAAATTCCTTATTTTTTCCTTACATTCTATCTCTATCAAAGTATTAACCCTTTTTGAGTGTATAAAAATATATTTTATTTGTAATTTTGTATAATAGCCCGGTTCTAATAAATGTTTTCCTTTTAAAGTAAAGTACCTTTTTTTTATTATTATTTTAGTTTTTCTAAAAATGTCAAAGTAAAAGGTACATGGTATAGATGAGACCATTTGTCGCTTCTGATGATTGAATTGTTGGAGCATGTATACAATGATTGTGCATGGCCATTGATGAAGGAGAAGATTTCAATTGTTTTGGCCTTAATAGATGAGTTGCATAATGCGACGTATAAGGTGTCATTGATGATTGATGTAGACCCAGAGAATTTTCCGAGAGGAAACGGTTGACGGACGCCTTCATTTATGACCAACTGCAACTACATGCACGACCATGACCCATTCTATGATTTTCTATAGCTGGAAACAACCTTATCCTATACCCACCAGTTTCCTCGTCAATCATGAAAAAATGGAAAGGGAATAAAATCATGACTATGTATATATGTATGTATGGTCTTGCTTGGCGAATTTCATGTGTTTTTTTCCTTAAATTATCCAAGACAGTTTGGACCTACTCCACAAAATCTTGTCGTTTCTGAATCGCAAAAATTAAATGGAATTGAAGTAATTGTATCACAGATATACTCCTGAGTTCTGAAATTGAATATAAGTAAAAAAAAATAAAAATTATATATATATATATAT